CACGACGCTGATCAAGACCTCCATGGTGGCCGCCGGGCACGCCCTCAGCGGCGACGAGGCCTCGACCCTGAAGGGCTCAATGAAGAGCAAGAAGGGTTTGGCTCTGAAGGTGAATTTGGAAACGAAGGTGAAGGCCACCATGGGGAAGTTGAAAACCCCCAAGGTCGGAATCAGAGTCTCCTGCGACGGAATCAGAGTCACCCTCCCCGCCGGCAAGAAACCGGCGACGGCCTCCACTTCTAACGCCAAGTGTCACGTCGATGTTCGCTTCAAGATCTGGAAGTGGACCGTTTGAATTTCATCCACTTTACAGAACTTAGGTGTGTTCTGTTCTTTCTTGGCTTTGGTTTTAATTTTAATTTTAATTTTGGTATATTTTTGGAGAATTTGTCCATACTCATAAATCATAATTACTTGAATGCGTGTAAATGGCAACGAGGGCTGCCGGGGTTTCAGTCGGTGACAGTTGTTACCATCTTTTGTATACTATATATCTTTTTTTGCTAGACACAGTTGTATTTTTCTATTCTATTTTCTCTGCACTTTTATTCTTTTGCATTGCATGATGGCTGATGGCACCATTATTTTAATCTGCTGCATTTATATAATGTTAAAAGGGTACGCACTGGTTGTAATTATTATATATTTCTAGGGGGATCGCACAAGTTATTGTTTAATAAAAAGGACGGGTTTAATACTTGAAGCGGGTAGAAATTTACATTTTTTTGTTCTTTTGTTTTTCAACGACTTGTTTGTTTACTTACGTGGCTTGTACCGACAATGAAGTTTGATCTTGACAAAATTAATTTTAATTGTGTAGTGGTATTCCGGCGTACACTTGTTACTTGGATCTTGGCTTTTATACGAAGAGTGTAATTATGTTGACCCGAAATAAACAAGATTGATTTAAGATGGTAGGAAGGAATAGACAGAAAAGGACTGAGTAACCATGTTTTTTTTTTACTGACTTAAAGATTGATCATTTTGATTAGCTAAGTACAGTAGTAATTTAAATTGGAATAAAATGAGAAGTGATTTGAGTGGGTGAGGTGTGTGGTCACGTCGTGTTGTATGGCGATGCCACGAAATACAAATAATGGAAATCGCTTTCGCTTTGAAAAGCGCGAATGGTGGGTGCGCTGATTATTGTGTTCAACTTACTTCATAAATTTCCGCATAATTTTGTTGTATTTTACATGGTTGTCGCTACATACACTCTTT